TAATTCTTTGGGCATAGATGGAGCATCTTGCCTGCTGGCAAGTGCAGGGATGTCCACCCTGCAGCTCATGGGCTGCACGCAACCCAGGGTGGCTGTGAATATAGCCCAATACAAAATTGTAGATTTACCTGAAACATAATGAGATTTTTTTTTTTTTTTTTTTTGTGATTATATGTCACAGCATATGTATTGTGTGGCTCAAGACGACAGTTCTTCTTTCAGTGTGGTGCAGACACCAAAAGGTTGGACTCTCCTATGGGTGTCCACACAAAGGGAGCACAGAACATGTTGTTAGTCTTAGGAGCTCTCCAGTTGCCATATTGACATGGGCTGTGTATGTGGATACTGACATCCATGCCAGAAGACTCAGTTTCTTTCTGAGCAGTGTGTTGGATTTCTTTAGAAAAGTGTTGCAGTTTTGGGCTTATAGGTTACACTGCGCCTTGCTTAGCCAGGAAAGGAGTGCAGAGAGGAACAGGTGCAGCTGTTTTCTAGGTTGACTGTTTTCAGCCTCTTTATCTGCTAACTCTGAGCCTAGAGTCTCAGGACGATTGACTCAGACCTCCACTGTATCCCTTCATGTGTGAATTTTGGGCAGTGCTTTCCTTAGTTTTGTTGAACCTGTTAGTCTTACCCTTGGAACCCTTGGAACTTACTCTTCTCCAAAATTTACATTGTCATTTCATCTCTTCATAATGTCTTCCATTCCTTTCATTTTTTGTAGATTTACTCCTTTTTGTACTTCTGTGCTGCCTTACCAGTAGATTTTCCAATCAACTGAACCACCTGGCTAGGGCAAGTCCTTTTCTTTTTAAGAGTACAGTTTGTTTAGAAGAGGAGTAACATCATTTTGTAGATCACCTTTGATAGAAAATGTTGGAGAAGAGGCAAACATGAATGTTTGTCATCATCTCTTTCCCTCTCCAGCTGTTCTTGAAAAAGAAAGAAATTGACATGTCACCCCTAAATGCTTTTACAAGTTTCTTTAAAAAGTGAAGCTGTTTTCTTACATAACCTCAATATCATTACTACATCTAAACAAATTAATGGCACTTTCTGAATATCATACAATGTTGGTTTGTTTGAATCAGGTTTTAAATTAGGTACATATATTTCAATTGATTATGTTTCCAGTCCTTTTATTCTTTTTAATTCTTACCTGAGGATGTGTTTATTGATTTTTAGAGAGAGAGGAAGGGAGACTGAGAAACATTGATCTGTTGTTTTCTGTTCATGCCCCAACTGGGGTTGGAACGCACAACTTAAGTATGTACCCTGAATGGGAATTGAACCTACAACCTTTTGGTGTACTGGACGTCACTCCAGCCAACTGAACCACCTGGCCAGGGCAAGTCCTTTTCTTTTATTTAAGAGTACAATTTATTTGGCAGAAGAGTGACATCATTTTGTAGATCACCTTTGACAGAAAATGTTTGAGCAAGTCATTTTTTCAGTTTTGCTATTAATTTCTTACAGCAAAATCTTCCTCAAATAACACATGTTTTTGTGTTGTTTTTTCTTTTGCTTTCATCTTCACCCAAGGACATTTTTTTTTTTTTTTTACACTTCATTTAGAGAGAGAGGAAAGGAGGGAGAGAAACATTGATGTGAGAGAAAAGCATTGATTGGTTGTCTCCGTTTTGTGCTCTGGCTGGAGACCATATGCTCCTGGAACTGGGATCGAATCCCCAGCCCAGGTATGTGCCCTGACCAGGAATTGAACCCTCAACCTTTTGGTTATGGGACAGTGCTCCAACCAATTAAGCCACACCAGCCAGGGCGTATGCTTTTGTTTTAAAGAAATATTGAAAACATATACAATAGTATGCAGAATAGAATAATGAAGTTCCATCTACTCATCACGCTGCCTTAAAAACTATTAACTCGGGACCTGTCTTGTTTCATCTATATCCTTACCCACTTACCCTCTCCTAATAAAATTTGAGGCACATACCACATACCATTCACCTGTAAACATTTCTTATTCTTGAAACTAAAGGTTCTAAGTCTTTTTGAAATTTTGAATAATTCACAAGTCTCCAATCCCTTTTTCTTCTCTTCCCTCCAAGTTGAAGGAACTGGGTCAGTTCTATAGAATGTTGAACATCCTTGATTTGTCTGTTTCCTCCTGATGTAATTTTACATATTCCTTTCCTGTATTAATGTGAACTGGAAGTTTGGCCAAAAGCATTGTTTCTGAAGCTTCCCCTCTCTCTCCACGGATTGCTCCTTTAAAGGACCTTTTTAGACATGTTTTTCCTTATTATTTGCCTCTGAGATGTGTGCACAGATACAGCATTATTCTTTGGAGGGCAAGAAACTTAATTTACTCTTTAAGATTTTTTCATCTTTGGGTGTGACATTGTTACTATTACGAATATAAACTAAAGGTTTCATAGATTCCAATTTGACTCTTTTTAAATAAGAATGTTTTGTTTTATTTCTAATTTTTATTTATTGATTTGAAAGAGAGAGGGGCATTGATTTGTTGTTCCACTTATTTATACATTCATGGGTTGATTCTTGTATGTGCTCTGACCAGACACCAAACCCGCAGCCTTGACATATCAGGATGATCCTGTAACCAACTGAGCTTACCCAGCCATGACCTAAATAAGAATATTTTTAAGTAGTACAATCTTTTATATATTTTATTACATCATGGGGTATATAATATCTGGTTGTCTCACTTTTGGAGATGCTAAGATTGATTATAGTACATTCAGTTGGTGACAGTATGATCCATTGTGAAATTCACTATCACATTTTCCCATAATGGTTTTAAAAACCATGATGATTATTGCCCACCTATTCATTACTTTTGTTTTAATTAGCTGAAATTTTTGAAAAACTAGCCATTACCAACTAGGTCTCTTTCGATACCTTGAAATATAGTTTGAAATGACAGGCAAGAAAGAAAAATGCTATATTAATTCCTTTTTACTTATCAATTTTTTTCTCCTCCTCCTTCCCCTCGGCCTCCCTTGTGTTACTTTTGCTGGAAGATATGACATGAATTTGGCAGACGTAAGGCCTGTTTTCAACTTCTTGAAATCATAAAAAAATATCTTTAAGTTGCAGACATAAGGCAAAGGTGATTGATAGAATGTACTAACATATTTCTTATTTCTCTGGTAATGGTTAAAGTGAAGATCATTTTGTTCTAATTCAACATGCTTCCCAGATCTTGAATTCTAAGTGATTCTAGGTAAATTATGTAAGGTGTTGGCCATAAGCTTTTCACCTGGGTGAACTAAATTATAGCTGTCTTCATTATTTATTATCAGTGTTTTCATTGGATTTTCTCTCAGGTGAGGTTGTTAATCTGAAGTTTGTATTCTTATTGCCTAAAGTTTTAACAGCCCACTGGGGCCGAAATATCTCCTTTTTAATGTCAGGGTTTATCTTTAACAAAAGCATACAGGACAGGGAAAGACAAGACCACCTTGGATATATGTATGGTGATTCCATTAAAGGTTACCACCACCACCCTCCTGTGCCCTCCCCCATACGAGTATTTCAAATTATTTCTTAGGTGTTGTGTTTCTGTATCTCAGGGAAATGCATTAGCGTGAGATTTCAGATGTGTGAGAGAGATATCTTGCTCTTGTTAATGGGAAGAGGGAGAGTTATGAAGTGTAGGAAAGGAGAAACTGGCATGATGTGCTGACCTTGATATTAATTCTAGTAACTGGTTGGAAACTGGAAATTAAGGGTCTGTAAATTGATTATCTCAAAACCGTCTTGTTCCCAGTGTAAAGACTGCTGGATTAAGGTTTATCTTTTATCATTATAATCACTAGATTATAGTGTTGAATCTTGTTGTGTATTATTCACCTACTTTTTATTTTCATAACTCTTAATTCCTTAAGGCCTTTCATTATAGTGCATTGTTTACTGTGATTTCTCTCTGCTTTTGGCGTAAGGATTCTTTTCCATTCTTCCTTAGCGTGCTCCTCAGTGGAACAGGTTTTCATTCTTCCTCTTTGTCCACCTTTTAACACCTGATTTTTTTTTTTTTTTTTTAATTTACAGCTAACTTCCCTCAGGTTTTGATTTTTTTCCCTGTTTTATCTGATTTTGTGTGTTTGTTGGTTCTTCATTCATTCAAAAAACAGGATGGTCGCAAAAATATAATTGTCACAGGCTATCAATCTTCATTATATTTCAGTGACTGAATTCTACTAGGGCAGGAATTTGGTGTGTTTTCCTCACCATTGGGTATGTAGAAACTGTTACAGTGAATGAATGAATGAGCAAGGAACAGACTTTCTACAGCTCTTTCCTTAATAGAACTTGTCACAAGGGCTTCCTTTCAGCTTCCTTTTCAGATCCTTGAGGCTAAGGGACTGGGAAGAGCTTCAGAATGGCTAGTACACTGTTGTCAAGTAGTAAGGGTTTTTCGAAATGGACTCTGCGTTTCAGCTCTGGGTGAGACTTTGGGATTCGAAGCAGATTCCTTCACTTCTTACTTTCCCTTTGCCCATCTCATTTCAGAGATGCCTTCTTTTATTCCTTTTTTTTTTCTGAGCAGCCACACTGAACTTCTTTTACTTCCTCATCAATACCATATTCCTCTGGCCCTTTGGACCTGCTGTTCCTCTTGGCTGAAATATGTTCTTTCTGTCCCCTCCCCCTTGCTTTTTGGCCAGATACTGTGCATGCTTACATTAAATGTCCCTCCTTTAGGAGGCCTTCTCTAACCAATTTCTACCAGACTGGTTTGCATATCTGCCATGCTTTCTCTTCATAGAATCATCATTCTTTAAAGCCTTTCATCCCATTTGGAGCTGCCCTACAGACTGAGCTCTCTGAGTGTGATGGTATGTGACATGTTCATTGCTACATCCCCAATTCCTGGCACATAGAAGGTCCCAATTAATGTTGAATATTTGGATGGGGAAAAAAAACCACTGGAGATATTGTTACTTAGTATTTGGTTAATATTTCTGCAGCTGCCTTTGTTTTATAGAATTTTTATTTTATTTTTTCCTGTAAAGCTGTCGAAACTCAGAAGCTGATTCTGTCTCAGTGTAAGATGCCTTTGGGAAATTCTACATTCCTCTTAGATGGATCTTTAGAACTTGGTGAGTTTCGCTAGACAACTTCAGTCTTCATTTTGAGCTCAGAGGTATGCCATCATTTTTTCTTTCTTTCTTTCTTTTTTCATAATTATTGGGTGTGTTGAGGTTTGAAATCTCCTGGCAAGAAGAGTAGGACAAAGTATTATAAAAATATTTAGGTCATGATCTGTTACCTTCCTTGATAGCTTTTAATTATCTTCAGAATTTTCATTCTTATGAGGAGTGAAAAGCTATTTATTGGTAAGATAATTGATATCCAGATGTAAAGTATTTTCAGCAATTCCTGGAATTTTTCAAATTTATTGCCCAAAAGTAGAATTTATAACTTTCTTTTTTCTGAGATAAAGAAAGGTAATTTACAAATGACTGAGAAGTAGAGTAAGAATTATTTCCTGTTGGATTTTAGGTTTAGAGATAAAGAACCATTTGATTAAGGCGAAAAGGGCCAGTCACCTATTGCAGCTCCAGCTTACAAGCAAGTCTTTTCTGTCAGGGGTCTGTGCACACTACCAGTCTAGCCTGCTGCCTGTTTTTATGTGAGCATGAACTAAGAATAGCATTTACATTTTTAAATGGGAAAAATAATAAAAGAAGAACACTACTTTGTGACATGTGAAAATTATATGAAATTCAGATTTCAGCATCGGTGAATAAAGAAAGCTTTTATTAGAACACAGCCGCTGTTATTTTTTACATACTCTGTATGGCTGTTTTCAAGCTATAGTGGCAGAGTTAAGTAGTTGCATCAGAGACCTTAGGGCCCAGACAGCCAAAAAATACTTACTATGTGACTCTTTCCAGAATAAGTTAGTTGATTTCTGCTCTATGTGGTTGGAGTCTACGTGGTTGGAGAAGTATTTATAGATTGGGTGCCAAGGTTAAAAGAGGAGTGGGAGGAAATTAGAGGGAGGTAAGAGTCAGTACCAACTCTCAGTGATTTGTTTACGCTTTTTTCTGTCCTAGAAAGTGTTACTCATATTATAATTACACTGACCTGTGTCGCTGTTTTAAAATAGAAAATAAATCAAGAGAAACTGATATACTTTTTCTAAAATGAATGTACATATAGAGAAAATTAGTATAATACTCTCAATTTTTACCAGGATTTAATGTTAGCATAGCTTTTTAAGCTCTTAAAAGATTATTTATACCTTTTGTATAGTTCTTTTTCTAATGTATGGAGATTACCTGTTATTTTTAAGTGAGAGTACTAATATATTACTTGGAAACTTGTTGGTGACTCAATTTTGGGGATGTAGGTACATGGTTCTTTTCGGAGTCAAGGGATAGGCATGGAGGACAATCTTAAGAGCTCTTCAGTCAAACAGACAGCTTATATTAAGAGATAAAAGACCACAACTTTAGTATCCTTTTTTGTTCCTATAGAACACTTAATAGTTTTGAGACTTTGGAAACATTTACAACTCTGAATCTTAGTTGCTTCATTTTCAAAATAGGAAAAAATAATACCTGTCCAAATTTACTAAATTATAGTTTCCTAAGGGTAGGTACCTTTCCTGTTTTTTTTAATCTACTGGGTCCCCCTGTGGCTGTCATAAGCATGGCACATAGTTGGCACACAATCAGTATTTGTTGACTGTGTTTGTTGATCTGTGGTAGTCTAATAATTGTCTGTGCGTGATCACATAATTCCAGTTTTTTCTTTTTTTTTTTTTTAAGAAAAGGTTTGCTTATTGGGACTGGGTGTTTCTGTTAAGCATAGGAGAGAATTTTTATTGAAAGCAGTGATTTTTCTCTGGATTCATTCTTTATAGATAGTCATCAAGTTATTGGCTAGATTTATTTGTCTAAGTTGTTATATATTGTTATTTTTTGAAATCTCAGGAGACTAGTTGAACCAGTAATCCAAGAATTACCAATCTCAGAGAAACCTAGAAGCCTTCTTATTGTAAAGCTTTAAAAGGTATACATACTAAAAGCCACTCATCTAAGTCTTATGAAACTTTTCTCGACTCTTCCACCGAACCTCTTTTTTTAATGAAACTTCCCTATATAATTTGCTCAAGAACACAACTTTTAAAATCTTGTCTTTCATAATACCTTGTAAAGATAATACGATTTAGAAGGTACGTAGCTGAAGAAGAGTGTTGCAAATTAAAGGACTTTACAGAGATATGACAGCTAAATGCAGTACATGACTCTGGACTAAATCCTGTCCTGGAGGTGGAAGAAAACCCTAAAGGACTTTATTTACTCAGTTAAAAAAAATTGGGAAATAGACATTAAATAAAAATATTTTATAATTTTCTGAAGTTAGTAACAGTGGTTATTTAAGAGAATGTCTTGGTTTTTAGAAAGTACACATTGAAGTATTTAGGGGTATAAGAACATGATATATACAACTTAATCTCAAATGGATCAGAAGATATGTTTGTATATGATAAAGAAAATGTTGCAAATGTTAACAGTTGGTGAATCTGGATAAAGTATATATAGGAGTTCTTTGAACTCTTCGTATACTTTTCTGGAAACTTAATTATTTCCAAGTAAAAAGTGTAAAAAAAAGTCTAGCATTTAACCAAAAAACCTGGAAATTATGTCCAAATACTGTTGCTTTTAAATTACTATTTACTTCCATTAAAAATATACTTATAATCCTTGATTTTATTTTTCACAGTGCTTTCACACATGCTGTATTTACATAGTGGCACTATTACTGAACAGTATTTTTTGTTGGGTGGTTTATGATTAGCAATGTTGTCATCAAAGTAGGTGCTCTGTTCTGTGATGCTTTACTGGATTTAATAAGTTTAGGACAAAAGTATTTTATAAAACAGATTTAGTTATTTTAGAGTAATGTGGAGATAAAATTAAATAGAACTTTGCAAATGTAAACTGCTGTACAAAGATAAGATCTTCATAGTAACAATATTCTTGCAGATTATCTCAGTTATTTTAATCATAAGATCTTGATTGCATACCAATTAGTGTAATTTAGAACTTTGAGAAATTTTAGGTATAGTCAGTTAAATACATTTTCATGTATCCTGTACTTTTCTTCACTTCAGCTTGTTTCGTTAAAAATCTATTAAGTGTTCCCTTAGCTCTGTAAATATACTTTGTCCTTAAAAGTGGATCTGGTTTTTTTCATTAAATTTATTTGTTTTGAAAGAAATTCAAGAATAAGGATATATTATAGTGTTTCTCAAAGTGTTAATAATTACATACATTTTGAGCATTTATTTTGTGCTAAGCACTTTACATTTAATAATTTGTTTTGTTTCCACAACAACCTTGTGATGACACCTTGACTTAATTTGCTGTTTTCAGTTTCAGCTAAAACTGAGCATTAGGTGCTAGACCTCAGAAGCCTTGAGTTTTCTTACTTATTTTTGCCAGATACAGACTATGGGAGCTAGTGATCTGGAACTTAATATAGAAAAATTGATCAATTGTATTTACATTTAAAAAAAATACTGTCTTAGAATTTTCTAGTTTGTGAACATGGGATAGATACTTCAAGCTGGGCTTTCCATTGCCCTCATAATGTGGAAAGGATCCACATATCAAGATAATTGTTCAGTAATTATATTGAAAAAGGAAGTAAATAGGACTTTTAGTGATCCAACTAAAAGGCAGACTGATGTAGAAACCTATTTCTATCAGAAACTTTAATTTCACCAACAAATAAAAATAACCTAAAAAGAAAAATTAAAAAATCAAGGGACTGATACAATGCCCACTTTCAGAAACTTTTTATATTGAATTAAAACATGCTATATTATGAAGTGCATAAATCCTGAGTGTCCTTTTGATGAAATTTTATGAAGTCGTCATTTTTTAACCAATACCAAGATCAAGATGTAGATCATTTTCATCAATCCAGGAGCCTCCTTCATGCCCCCTGACAGTCCTCACGCACTCCCACAGGTAACTGTTATTCTGAGTTCATTCACTCTTCCTTAGTATTGTTTGCTTTTGCATTTTTTGTCTGTCTGTATTTGATCATCTTGTTTAATAGTTGTCCATGTTGATTTATATAACAATAGTTTTCCTTTTTCATTGCTTTGTAATAACATCATTTGTATGTATACACCACAATTTATTTCTCCATTCTACAGTTGATGAACACTTGGATCATTTTCAGTTTTGGGCTATTATGAGCGGTGTTGCTATAAACATTCATGCATGTCTTTTGATGTACATATGTATGCATTTCTGTTGGCTAAATATCCAAGAGTGAATTACTGGATTAGGGTATTTGGCTGTTTAGCTATAGTAGATCCTTCTAGTTTTCCAAAGGGATTGAATTGATTTTACACTGCCACCAGCAGTATATAAGAGTTCTTGTTGATCTACATCCTCACTGGTACTTGAAATTATTAGTGTTTTTAATATTAGCTCTTCTGCTGTGTATCTAGTAAAATTTGTTGTGGCTGTAATTTATAATTCTTAGTACATGTTTACACACTTGCTCATCATTTGGATAGCCTTTTGAGAAATGTCTGTTTGTGTCATTTGCCCACTTTTCTATTGGGTTGTCTGTCTTAATGGAGTTTTGGGAGTTGTGTATTTATTTATAGTATAGATTTTTTTTTGTTGGATTAAGTATTAAAGCTATCTCTTCTTAATTCTTTTAGTAGCATATCTTGATTAGGATAATTGTTTAATTTAAAAAAATGTCCATTTTATCAAAGTATTCTTTTATGGTTAGTGTTTTTGTGTGTCTTAAGAAACCTTTGCCTATCCTAAAGCCAAGAATATATTCCTATTTTTTTCTATAAACTTAATTGTTTCAACTTTTACATTTAAGTTTATACTTGGTATGTGGTTGGATTCATGGATCATTTTATTTTTCATATTGAAATCCATTTGATCAAGCATGATTTATTGAAAAGACTATCCTTTCCCTACTATAATATACTAGATTCTTTGTTGAAATTCAGGTGACTTTTTATTTGTGGATCAGTTCTTAGACTCTATTCTATTTCATTGGTCTATTTTTTCTTGTGCCAGTGCAGTACACTTTCAGTTAGTGTAGCCTTAAGTCTTCTAGTTTTATTCTTCAAAATTGCTTTGGTTATTTTTGGTACTTTAAATTCCAGCAAAAAATTTTATAGTCAGTCATCAGTTTCCCAGTAGATAAACAGCCAGACTCCTGCTTAATGTTAAGCTAGTTTAATATTGTTTCACTTTAAATTTAATGCTGATTCTATAGATCAATTTGGATATATTGGACATCTTTTAATATTGAGACTTCTAATACATTATCATGGTATATGCCTTTGTATATATTTAGGCCTTTAAATTTTTTTCCCTAGAAATGTTATTTTGTGTGTAGCGTTCTTACACATCTTCCATTAACTTTTAAAGGTTATGTTTTTAAAAGTTCTTATAATTTAGAGATCATAATGGAGTACATGCAGATGAAAGGATATAATTTTGGGGATTTGCTTTTAATAATGCAAAGGGGGATTAGAAGGAATGGAGAAGAGGCAGAGTAAATTAAATAAGATTATGATTTGATAATTGTTGAAAGTGGATGATGATTATGTGCGTTAGTACTTTTGTTATTCTTTTTTACTTTTGTGTATATTTGAAACTTTCCATAAAAAGAGGTTTTAAAAAAAATGTAATGACTACAGTAGGTTGAAATACACATTTATATAAGAATCCAGAAGTTCATAATAATACTTTTTTAAAAAATCCTCATAGGCACCAGTTCATTACCATCTGAAAATTATTGGTAAATGAGAGAATCAATCATTTATTCTTCTTTTTCTACACTTTTAAGGTAACTAAATAATTAGTGAAAGTTTACCATTATAGAAGAATCACAGCAAATAAATGCTGGGAGAATGATAGGATTAGGAACTCACCAGAGTGCATCCTCTAATAAAATTATGAACCTAGGTAATGATCAGTCAATGAGTACTAAAGCCATTAGGTAAAAGTTTGTTGGGAAATGGACATAATACAATAGATGGGCCAAAGTGTAGTAAGTCTCTCTGACTGATTCGAACTAAAAACATATATGGTGACAGAAGGAGATTCGACTTTGGGTAGTTAATACGCAGTGCAGTATACAGGTGATGTATTATAGAATTGCACACTTGAAATCGATATAATTTTATTAATCAATGTCACCCCAATACATTTAATAAAAACACTGTCAGTGGAATACAAAAACCAAGTATCTACAGACTCTGAAAGTTAATAATAGAGAGCAAATCAAGAAGGGAAGGCATAACTTGAAGAATAGTCTGTGTAATGGTGAGTGATCTTTTTCTTTTCCATGTCCCAGTTTTGACCAAATGGGCTAAATTGTGGAACTGTAGAAGTGGGTATAGCAGCTAGCAAAAACTCAGGGAAACCCCCATTTCTAGCCAGACGGTAAGGAAAAGGGGTCTTTTCTCTCTCGTTTGCCTTGAGACCATCTCCACCTTTAAAGAATGTTGCATTGCCACAATGGCACAGTTAATTAAAACTCAGAGAAAACCATTTCCTTGGTCAGAGAAATGGGGAAACAGGCCCCTGGAAACGAAAGCATGCTGGGGGCCCCTCAGAGACAAGAGAGCTGATGTGAGAGGATATTCCCTAATTGTGAATATGAACCCACAGAAATCCCACCTCACACATGAGCTGCACATGCACAGAACAGACCTAAAGAAACACAACAAAGACTTTTAAGAACTGGACTGCAATATAAACTACCATCCAAGTCTCAGATTTGTCCCTGAGTGATGCATGCAGAGGACATGCCCAAATAACACAGTAAAGACTTTGAAAATAGAGCTAACACTGGGACTGCTGCCCCATAGAAGGCTATATAGGGTATACTTCCAGCCTGAGCTTAACAACAACAACAACAAAAATCTTCAGAAGATGTTAATAGAATTTAGAATTTTATAACAATTTTTATGTCTAGGATATAATCTAAAATTGCTTGACATAAAAGAAACAGGAAAACCTGACAATTTTTTATGGGAACAGGCAAGAGATACCAATCCTGAGATGCTCCAGATGATGGAATTAACAGAAAAAGACTTTAAATCAGCTGTTATATCCATGTTCAGTGAGATAAAAATGGACACTTCTGAAATGAATGGCAAGGTAGCTCTCCTCTGAAAAATAAAAAGCATATAAAAGAAAAAAATGGAAGTTTCAGAACTGAAAAAATACAATAGTAATACCCTCTAAAACCTACCCATAGGCCTTGTGGCTGTGAATTTTTGTGCCATTTACACATTCTCTTTTTTTCCTAATTACTACTGCATACTTGCATGCTGCAAAGAACGTCTATCTGTGCCATTTGAGCCCCATCTCCCTTGATACTCCAGATCCAGATAGGGCCTTTACCTGCCATTTATCACTTCAGGTACGAATTAAGCAAATCATTCAGTGGGTTAAAAGTAATAGTCAATTAAGGGGTAAACATACCCACAAATAATTGTTTATTTGAAAGCTTTGAAAATAAATAGGGATCGATAAGTAGAAATGGATAGCATGTGTATGTATCATATTACAAAATCTTAAAACTTAAAGGTAATAAATTTTATCCTAAATGTAAATATAGATAAACTGCTTATTTTGGTGAAGAGAAAATGCTTAATGATTGTTTTCTGAATAATCTGTGGTTCAGGATGCATCTAAACTTGAACTAGTTTTCAGTTGGTTGTCAACTTGTTTGGAGTATTTGGCTGCTCAGAAGCAACCTGGCAGTTTATCCAAGTTTTAATAGGTCAGAACAAATGTCATTTTATAGAGTGATTATACTGCAAAAAGTTAGAGGAACACTTGAGGCCTTCAAAAATTGATATATTTTTAGTGGTATCTGGTGGCCTCATTGATGAAGTTACACATAAGATGTCAAAAGTTGTCATTATATTTATATATATTAGTTTTTATTTACTAAATATCTCAGCTCTCCTGAGCCTAGTATTTCATAATACTACTTAATAATCAAATTTCTTAACAGGTCCCTAGGATTTATAGTATTAATGAAATTCTGTACTTCTTTTAGGGTAATATAATTCATATTCATTCTACCTCCACTTTTTTTCTAGAGAACCATCTCAGAAATTTATATACGCTTGTCTAAGACTATTTCATAATCAGTCCCCTCACCCGTTGTCCATGTCCATGGGTCCTTCATACATGTTCTTTGATTATGAAAGTGAGGGGTGGGGTGAGTGGAGGGGGGGGCAAAGGGGGAAAAATGGGACAACTGTAATAGCATAAACAATAAAATATTTTTAAATACAGACTATACCACAAAGGTTGCAATTTAATTAATCTTGTTTGTATATCTGTTTGATACTCAGAAGTTATACCATTTTTATACATTCTCTGGCACATTAAATAGTTGTCCAAAAGAACTCTGCTCTTACAATCAGGTGGGTGTTAAACAAATCTTTGTCATTCAGGAAAACATCCATAGAGCCTGTTGCTGCCATATAGCAATAAATTTATACTTTGGTTTCATTTGAATTCATGCAACTGGAATTATTATCCATATATTTTTAAAAGATTTTATTTCTTTTTAGAGGGGGAGGGAGGGAGAGAAACATCAGTGTGTGGTTGCCTCCCAGACGCCCCCTGCTGGGGACCTGGCCCGAAGCCCAGGCATGTGCCCTGACTGGGAATCGAACCAGTGACCCTTTGATTCATAGGCTGGCACTCAGTCCTCTGAGCCACACCAGTTAGGGTTTATCCATCTGTAGTTTTCCATTCTCTTGAATAAACATGAAAGGAAAAAATAGTTCAGAAGTTATGAACATACTGGCATGGTGGTACACTTTTATTTACTGATAGATCAAATTATCTTTGATGTTTCATCTTCTCCAAAAGATACTTTATTTTGTCTTTGCCAAAGAGAGACTTCTTTGGTCATTGTTTGTGGTAGGCAGAATAATGGCCCTTCAAAGAGA